TATGATTTTACCACTATATAAAAATATATTATTGAATGCAAAGAATGAACATTTTAAAGTTTGTCATACCTAAAATAAAAGTTGCCAAAGCAGGGAACATGATTGAAATTGACATGAAAACTATGTACTTTTCATTTAATGTCAATATCAAATACAACATCCACACTCAATCTAATCTACTTGAGAACAAAGTCTACTAAATTTAATTGAAGTACCTAAAGTATTGAAATGAAAAAGAAAAAGCATTCCTTACTTAACTATTAATTGTGCATTAAAAAATAGTGATTTGTCTAATTTTTCATTATTTTTCAATTATATATTATTTTTAAGATAATTTCAAAATATCACCTAACATAACTTTTTTTACTAATTATTTTTTTTTAAATATTAATTTGATTTTTAAGATAATCTTCCAAATGCAAATATTAATTTGATTTTTATATTTTAATTTTGTTTTTAAAATATCACATGACATAACTTTTTCTACTAAGCTCATTCAAGTTTGCCCCAAATTAATCATTTTTTAATCAATTTTCATAATTTGGAATTCAACCTAATTTGGATCGATTCAAAATTTAATATTCGAGCTTAAAAGGCCTAAGCTTCAATTTTAAGTCCAAATTAAATTTCAAGCCTAGATTAATTTTTAAAATCCCAAATTTATTTTTTATTTCTTTATTTAAAATTAATTAAATTAATTGAAATTGAATAAAGATAAAGAAGAAAAAAAAGAGGAAAGCAAACAAATTAAAATGGCCGACAACCACTGTACCAGGGAGCACCACACCACAACCAACCAAACCTTGTTATGTATGTTCAAACTGCATTTTCAAACTGTTAAACATTGAATGCATATGTCTATTGTGGTTCAATTTACAAATAAAAAGAAAGGATGAATACACAAAAAGGGAATTTTTCCAAGTCAAGCACCCATTTCCACCCTCTAAACACCATTAGATTCACACCCTTGCACACATTGCATCCAAGCATTGACTTATTGATCTAAGCACTAGCCCAACCTTTTCATTCTTAGAATGCAACAAATTCCACCATCTTTTCCCAGCATAAAGAACAAAGACCACAAGCCTTATCAGTCCTTCAAGCCTCGATCGACTCCATGTACACACAAGCTCCAACTCAAAACCTACATGCAATAGCCTTGGTTAACCCCAAGCACTCAAAACCCAAGGTCGCAACAAGAACCTTTCACTTTTGCACTCACCTACCTAGTAACTCTAGAAGCCTACCCTTTAAGAACTACCCTCTGACCATTACCAACACTGGCCTACACCTATGTTTGTCCCATGCACCACTTTTCCAACACCCTTCTAGCACGTATTTCCATTATCCACCCTGGTCGTCCCCAGCTTTAGTACCATCCCATGCCTAATCCTACTCTACAGCTCCTCTAATACCTACCCCATCCTAAGGTCGGCACCCATTTGACCATCTCTATAGCACCCCCACACCCAGTAGAGTTCTAGCACCCATTCCACCAACCTAGCAAGCACAATCCCTAGCCCTAGCACCAATTCCACTAACCCAATAACTTTGAGGCCCTAAAAGCACACATTTTTACTAGCACCTTGGACGCATTAGGCTAGATGCTCATAACACCTAAATAGACCCTAATAGCATGAACCCTTGTGACCACCACCCAAGCCACCAAGCAACACCGAAAAATCCCTTCACCTAGCTTTCACTCACCACAATGCAAACCTTGGCAGCACCAACCAAACTAGTCGCACCAACTCCACTCTCTAAGAACAACCTTCTGACCATTACTAACCTTGGCCTACACCTTTGCTTGTCCTATACATCAAGTTTCAGCACTCGGTTCCTTACCACAAAAACTAACAGTCCCAGCCAACAACTTCGCCCATCCTTAAGGACAAAACCCACTTGCCCTCACCCATACCTTTGCCAACTCACCAACTAGCCTCGGCCAAATCCCACTAAATTGACTATCATGACCATCATCCACCATAACTATTCGACACCATCCCAAAGCACAACCCTTCAACCATGCCCAAAGCCCTATTACTGTGAGCCAAAACATATGCAAAAAAAAAAAAAACACAAATACCACTGCCAAACTCAACAATCACAAAAAAAAACAACCACAATTTGTCCCCAAGGTAAGGGAACCCAACACCATAAAGCTAAAATACCAAAAAAAAAAAACTCAAAAAAAATACAAAAAAATGAGGAAAAACTTTCAGGTTGAAATGGCTTTTAGCCTAGTTTTCACAGGAAAAAAAGGCTATGAGTAAAAGAAAGGCATACTAAAGGTTAGGGGTTTATGGTTGATAAAAGAGATGGCTTTTGAGTTTTAAGGTCGTGATCTTGAATGGCAAATTTAAAAGATCTAGACTGATTTTGAAAAAATGAGTTAAGAAATAGAAAGATGAAGATAAGGGCTTCATTCGGGTGAAGTTTGGATGATTTTGACATTGACAAGTGGTGTTCGGTGATGGAAAAAGCAGTGGTGATGAGGGTTAATTATTGAGTTTTGGATCTTGGCATTAAAGCTTGGCCAGCCTTTTGTTTTGTTTGAGAAGAGTGAATTTTTTTTTTGGGAAAAGCTATGAAATGAAGTAAATAAATTTTTTTTTGAGTTTTATACTAAAGGGAAAAAGCAAGAAAATGACATTGTTTCAGCTAGGGAATTTACGTGTGACCCAACTACTTGACCTAGGATCTACATGCTCGACCCATCTTTCTATTAGCATTTAATTAGTTCAATTGGACTACCTCTAAATAGCCCCTTTAATCGCTTTTTGAATTGGCCTGAACAGCTGAGAACTGGTTTAAATTGCTCCTAGACCATGAACTAGTGTTAACTAGTGGATTTTTAGTAATTTTCTTAATTTTGTTAAAATTTTTTATTTTCTAGGTTATTGAAACTATTTATTGATACATCTTAATATTTCAAATACCTAAAATCAAAAAAATAGGAAAATAGGAAAATTAGTGTTAAAAAATATTAGTAAATTAAAAAAATGTAATAATAATAATAATAATATGAAATGGTAAAAATTAATAATTAAATGAAAATTTTTGATGACGGGACTTCGGGAAGTTCAAATAGTGATTCTCAAAAATTTTTTAGGTGAGTAAAACCTTCTAAAAATTACCGAAGTATTGAAATATTTAGAAACTCTTTTTAATACAAATATTTTTATTTCTTCCTTTAAGTTGAATGATTTTCTTAAAAAGATAAGAAAATACAAATATTTATAAGAATGTACTTTTTTTAAAAAATAAATTTATTTATAGATAATTATATTATTACATGACTTTGAATTATTAATAATTTTTATAAAACTAAACGAAAAATTCTTCAAATATGAGATCTTAAAAAAATTCGAGCAGTGATTCTTTAGGATTCTCTAGGTGAAAAAATTTAGCTAAAATGCCACCACTATACTGGACTATTTAGAATAATTTTAGATAAAGATTTCTCATTTTTTTAATAAATAGAATAAAAAATGAATTTTTAGAAAACATTATATGATTTTAAAGTATGGATATCATAATTTACAATATGCTTATTAAACATAAATCTTGAAGATAAATATGAATTGCAAATGATGAAATTTTTGAAAATTTTGAGTAGTGATTCTTAAGAGATCATTTGGTGAGAAAATTTTCTTTTAATATAGCTAAAGTATTGGAATTTTTTGAGAGTTTTTCAATAGCCAATGTTCTTATTTATTATTCTAACCAAGATAAAAGAAAAAAATGAAAAATAAAAATATGTTTTTTACAATAAATAATTTTAAGAAAATTAATTTCAAATACCAAGATTAAGTCATTTTTGTTAAAATTAAATGATAATACATTATTAATTTGTACTATTTTAAACGGGCATTGTAGGGGGTGTTAATTCTTCTCTATATGTAACCGACATTAGAATCCAAATTGTTTTTGTGGATCAAAAAATTATCTTTTTGGTAAAGTTTTAATCAATTTTAAGATTTTATTAAAAATAAAAGTTTTAATAGATAACCAATCACACCTAACACAAAAAATTAATGGTGACTCCTTTTTATTTTCAAATTCGTCTAACAGCTTAGAAAACCATTACAACAATTTAAAGATTTGTTTTATTCATTTATAGTTTATTTGTTTAAATTTGTTTAGTTATGATTTTTTTTGTTCATAAATATATTCATTTATATATATTAATGAACATATACGTTTAATATTTATGAATGAACTTATTTAACTTAATCAAATTGAATATGAAATAAGTGCAAACATCCTATCATTTAAACGAACCAAATTTGAACGTATAGAAAATTTTTTTTACTGAATGCAAATTGAGCCTAAACACTTCTAAAAATAAATAAACAAACCAAAGTTATACATTTGTTTATTCATATTCGATTGGTTTATAGTCTTATCTTTTTTGTCTATATTTACTTTTTTTAAAATTATTTTTAGGTGAAATTATTTAATTATCCTTTCTCATCTCAATTTTAAAGTTTTCGGATATCATTTTTGATAAATTTTATAATTTATTAAATATGCATATATGGCAAGTTATATAACTTATCAGATGTTCATATATGATAAATTAAAAAAAAATTACATTTAAGATTTTAAAAAAATTCAATCAAGAAAAAAATCTAATATAGCATGAATTTTTTAAAATAATTGTAAGGTCATTTACAAATTAATAGACAAAAATTATGCATGTGAATTTTTACATTTATTCTTGATTTCAATGATTTGAGACAAAAAAAGTTTTTAATTTTTGATTATCCAAATTCGACACTTTTAAAAGTTTTTGAATTTGTAAATTTTGAGATTTTAAAAACTTCACTATTTATAAATCCAAAAATTAAAATATAAAAAAGGGTGCAAAGAAAAAAAGGAGAAAAAATAATTGAATAGTTTTATTTAAAAATAATTTTGAAAAAAAAGAGTTTGAAGGGAAAAAAAATTACAAAGAATCTCTCAAATTAAACTACATGCTAAATCAATTGTTAGGGTTAGGATTTACAATTTGCACGAACCAGCACTTCCTCTCTTCTCAATCTCTTACTTTCATAGTTCAGTCTCAGTAAAGTTTTTCTCGCAACAGCAAAAATGGGGTTAGTTTTTTTCCTTATATTAATTTTATTTTTCTGAAAAATGTTATTTTTTGTTCTTTTCAATTTGATCCTTGCATTTGAAAAATGCTAGCTTTGTGAATCATTTCGTGATTGTCCCTTTTTTTTTTCTGAGTAAAGTAGTCTTAAGATCTAGTTTATATGATTAGATGATTTGTGGGTCAATAATGCTTTCTCTTTTCCTTTTGTTTCTGGTGTGTTTGGTTGTTGATAAAGTTGTGGAATTTATGGGTCAAAATGTCCTTAACCAACTGTTTGGTTGATTGGAAAATTATGGAAGTAGGAAATGGAATGTGAGAAATTTATTATTGTGGTTGTTGATCAGGATTTGTAGATAGAAACTTACGAAACGGTGGTTAATGAACTTCTGAACCATGGGATCGGGTTAGGTTATTTATATTCGTGGACCGTTTACCTTTTTTTGTGATGCATATGTATATTGAAGATTGTTGTTGTGCAAAGGAAATTCATTTTTCGTTTATCCAATTTGATGATTTGGCTTGGTAGATAAGCCTTTAGAAGGTTATTTGTGTTGTATTTTGGAGAAATATGCTGACAAAATGGGAGTTTTGAGCAGGAAGACTCACGGAATGGGAGGTGGTCGTAAGTTGAGAACACACCGCAGGAGGCAGAGGTGGGCTGACAAGGCATATAAGAAGTCCAATCTGGGAAATGAATGGAAGAAACCATTTGCTGGATCATCACATGCCAAAAGCATAGTTCTTAAGAAAATGTTAGAACTAAGTTATGCTTTTGATGATGTTTTAAGGGTATTAATCTAGCAGATTGCACTTGAATTTGATGCAGAACTTGACAATTACTGGCATTTGCAGTGGCATTGAAGCTAAGCAGCCTAACTCTGCTATCTGAAAATGTGCTCGTGTTCAGCTGATCAAGAATGGGAAAAATTGCTGCTTTTGTACCCAATGATGGTTGCTTAAACTAAATTGAGGAGAATGTAAGTTATACACAATTTTCTCGTTTTTGTCATAACTCTTCTGATCTTTGATCCATGTTTTTGTCTTTGGTTAATGTTTATTGAGTAGAATTTCATTGATCCATGTTCATAATTTCTCAGTCTTTGGGATGTTTTGTCTACTGGTATGATTTGTTAGTTAAAGAAAATTGTGAAAAGCTTGCTGTAGATAACAGGGTCTCCTTTTAAGTGATGCCTAATGCCATGCTTGGTTTGATTTGGTGCAGGATGAGGTTTTGATTGCAGGATTTGGACGAAAAGGGCATGCTGTGGGAGATATTCCTGGAGTCAGGTTCAAGGTTGTTAAGGTATCTGGTGTGTCTCTTCTAGCTCTTTTCAAAGAGAAGAAGGAGAAGCCGAGGTCTTATGATTACTGGAAGAGTTTAGCTTTCATCATGGTTTACCAAAATTTTGTTTTCATCAAAGTGGTAGTGCCTGGGATTTTGTGAACCATTTTTTGTTTATCATCTAAAGTGAAAATTTTGATTAATTGAGTGATTTACAGGTATTGAAATGTTGCTTGTAGTTTCCTGCATTTGGCATAGAATACTGATATGCAATAATCAATTAGTAATTTGTAAAACATTGCATGAATTTATATTTGAATCTCCTCAAATCATTGCTTTATAGAGCTGCAGGCTTCGGCGCAATGGCTGGTGTCTCTTCGGGTGGAATGACCCTGCAGGATCCGGGTTCAAATTCAGGCTTGTGTTTAAACTTAGCCTTATCCGCTTTTACAATAGAAAAAAAAAATAATAAAGAATCACTGCTCTCTAAGGGGTTGGCTGTTATTTGATGGTACCAGTAATAAAAGGTTTCAGTTGAAAGGATAATCGAAAGAGATGAGGTGGATCATTCAGCTATTTTAAACTGAACATTAAAAATTTTCCGCCATGCATCGACAATTGCTCAAATTTGTTTTTGTTGCTTACATTAGGAACAATCTACTTTCACCTCTAGGCCAGAAATCGTTTTTTCTTGTAAAAATCTGTGCGTACAATCCATGATCCAAGAGGTTCTGTATCCCAAGCACTGAAAAATGAGACAAAAATACACTCTGTTGCAATGAAATAACTGAAAAACTAAATGCACTTTCAAAAGCAAAGGATTATAAGTCAGAAAATCCTCTTTTACTACCAAGATAAATGTAGGACCTAAGGAAGCTTTTATTCATACAAACATAAATATAACGACACTGTAACTATATAAGAGGTTCACACCACCTCTTCTTATGAGGTGCCTTTGTAAGACAAAAATTAGGCCAAGTTAGAGCAATATTTCACAAAGTGAAAATCGTGACAGTTAGTTATCGGCGTCGATGAAATGCCTAGTTTGAGCCTGAGAGAGCTTCTTGGACCATAACAAGTTTATCAAATCCAGACCTAAATCTTTGATCCCGTCAAGCAAACTTTGAGATAAGGTTTAGATTCTTGATAATAGTATTGATCAGTCAAACTTAAATAAATGTGGTTAAAATGATAGACGTACGAATTGGGGGGGAGAATGTCACGGACCTAAGGAGGAGTCCTGAATCCCACATCGAACATAATAGGAAGGTCACTGAGGCAAAACTGTGATGCCAGGGGGCCAGAGTGGATAATACCTCACAAGGGTGTGAATCGTGGCATGTAGGCTGATTTGGGACGCCGAATGAGTCTCGGCACTGTAAGGGTTCGCAGCTAGGTTGATTTGGGACTCCAGATGAGTGGATGTCCGGATCTCGAAATCGCATGGGTTCGGAGCTTAAGTCTCGACCCATGACATAAACATGTCCTTAACAACAATTTCAGAAAATTGAAAACATTGTATAAACCAAAACAAATAACTCACACTCTTTTGATAACAACAAGACTCTCCTCATAACTGTGAACCCGAAGAAGAACTTCTCCACCTTCCTTGACTTTAATACCAAGCTCGCTGAATTCCTCATTTTCGGTGTTTGACAAAAGTGTTATCCTTTGATTTTGATAAAAATAGTCCAATTTTCGGTGTTTGACAAATAATTTCCTTGATTTTTTATTTATTAGAAAAAAATTTATTCTCGAGAAAAATAAATTAAAACCTTTTTATTGAAATAAATTTTAAAATGTTCCGGTACGTTGGTAACATTAGAAGAACTTTTTCTCACATAGAGATTTTTTAGGCATCACTTCTCGAATACTTTAGAATCTCATCTTCGAAGTCCGAATTTACTTTTCGTAAAAATTATGTCATGTATGGAATACAAATAATAACATGTTGATGCACACATTTTATTCTTTTTTTTTAAAAAAAATTTTATTAATTGTTTTATTTTTAATTTTGGAGAAAAAAAAGAATTTTCATCGTATTGAAGTTTTTCTATAAATATTCCAATACACTGGTAATATTTAAAAAAACTTCTCACCTAGCGATTTCTTAAAGCATCTCTACTCGAATACTTTTGGAATCTCATCATTGGATAAAATTTCTTTTCTTCTCATTTTTATTACTTATATTTTTAATATATTAATCAATTTTATTTATTATTAAAAAAATTTTTACTGTATTGAAAATTTTTTATAAATACTCCAATACACTGGTAGTATTTTAAAAAATCTCTTCTCACCTAGAGATTTTGTAGGCATCACTACTTGGAATACCTTTGAATCTCATCGTCGGATAAAAATTTCCTTTTCTTTCATTTTTTATTGCTTTAGTATTATTATTAAATTTATTTTTATATAATTGTTTTTAAAGTTTATTTTAAAAATTAACATAATTATAAAAAATTTAACCATAATTTCATCATTTAATCTAACAAATATAAATATTTTAATATGCATAAATATTAATAAAATAATATATATAAAAATAAGAAAAATTCAAAAAAAAATTTTTTTTACCTGAACCGTATCGGTCAATGATCGGTCAACGCGAGGTTTGGTTCGACGGTTCGGCTCGATTTGGGTGAATCAACGGTTCAGTATCGGTTCGATTCGACCTGGGCGATTCGATTCCGGTCCAGTCAGATCGGTGAAAGGCTGATTGAGAAACGGGTCGTCGGATCGGGTGCGCGGACCCCGGGTCGGGTCGCGGGTTGACGTACGGATCCTGGGTGCTTAAAACAATGTCGTTTTGGGCCTTTAGTGAAACAACGTCATTTTGATTCTGACGATTTATATAAAAGAATAGAAAAAAAATTTTTTAGCCATTCTTTCCTCATTCAAAAAAAAATTCCTTATTCCTTTATTTTTTTCTGGCCGACCTGGGGCCGGTTGCCATCCATCGTGACGGTCGCCATGGACTTCAATGGCGGCAACTCTGGCCACCGTCGACGGTGTCAAAAAATTCCAAAAAACTCTCACGAACTCCTCTCGACCCCCTGAGCACAGATCTGACCTCCTTTTCACCAAAAAAAGTTCCCATTTCCCTAGATCTGCTTTCAAAGTTTCGGTGAGAATTTTTTTTTTGTATTCTAACCCTTCTCTTTTTTTTTGAAACTGACCCTCATTTTTTTTTCGTGCAGGAAGCTCGGCACTGGGTTCTTCCCTACGGGAGGACTGTGTATTTTTTTTTGTGTTTTTACTAAAATTTTTTTAAAACAGAAGATTTTTTTACTTTTTTGTAAAAATTTTTTTGTCATTTTTTTTTTCCGATTTGCCCCATCTTCGTTTGCAAATAATAAGCTCTATTTATAGAGCTTTTTGGGATTCAAATCTCAGATCTTCTGAGATTCGAATCCCATTTTTTTGACTGAGAATTCACACTTGCCGTTCGTGATTGGCAGCTTGTCGGTCGATCGCTGGCAACTAGCGACGGTGATTTTGGACTTTAGGGATTGTGCATTTAGTGCACTAGATTTGAATCGGATAAGAAAGAAGAAGAAGGAAAAAGAAATGAGGAAAGAAAGAAAAAGAAAAAAAAGAAGAAGAAAAACGCAGAAAACAGGAAAAAAATTAAATAAATAATAATAATAATAATAAAATTGTGTTTACAATGATTATTAGTGGGTGAACTTTTAGGGTAAGTTTAAATTTTTTTATTTTATTATAAAGTTACTTAATAATAATCGTTAGATATTAAAAGTAATCTAAATTATTGATTTTTTAATTATAAAAATAATTAATTATCTGTTTATCTATTAATTTAATTTTAATTAATTATATTAAATATTATTTATTAAATAAAATAAAAAAAATTAACAAAGAAATACAACTTATTTAAAATTTTTTAAAAAAAGATAAGATAATATAATATTTAAAAAAATTTAACTGAAAATTGGCTAACATAAAAATGTAAGAATTATTATAAAATTAATATTATTTAGCATAAAGTATGTTAAAAGTGTCATAACACCTTAAAAGAGAGTTATAAAAATTATAAACCTAATGAAAGTAAGAACAAACATAAAAATATATTATTGTAATATAAATAATTAAGTTAATAACATAAAAAAATTATAACCTTAAACCCAAATAATAATTCAAAACTAATAAATAAGTGTTAAAGTAAAAGGATAAAAATAATTGTAAAATTTATGTCATTTAATATAAAATGAGTTAGAAGTGTCGTAACACTGTAATAACGAGTTGTGACAATGATAAACGTAATGATAACGTAATGAAAAGTAACAATAAATATAAAAAGATATTATTTTAACAAAAATAATTAAGTTGGTAATATAAAATAAATATTATTACAAATAAAAAATAATTTTAAACCAAAAAATAAAAGTTAATGTAAAAAGATGAGAATAATCGTAAAATTAGTATTATTTAATGTAAAATGGTTACAAGTATTGTTACATTTTAATAAAATATTGTGATAATTCTAAACGTAATAAAAAAGAACAATAAGTGTAAAAAATATTATTAAAACATAGATAATTAAATTGATAATGTAAAAAAATTAGTATTATAAATAAAAAATATCCTATACCAAAAAATAGGTGTTAAATTAAAAAGATAAAAATAATCATAAAATTGATTTTTTTAGCGTAAATGGGTTAAAAGTGTTGTAACACTTTTAAGAAAAAGTTATAATAATCTTAAACGTAATGAAAGGTAATAATAAGTGTAAAAATATATTGTTATAATATAAATAATTAAGTTGACAACAAAAAAAATTTTATTATTATAAATAAAAATAATTCTAAACAAAAGAAAAGTGTTAACTTGACAAAGTAAGAGTAATTGTAAAATTAAAATCATTTGACATAAAAGTGTGTTAAAAATTATCGTAACGTAAAAAAGTAATAATAGTTGTAAATTGGTGGTACTTGGCATAAATTAGTTTAGAATTGTTATAACACCTTAATGAAGAGTTGTGATAAATTTAAACATAATAA